CAAATGATTAAAAAAATTAATCATTTTTTGAAAAAAAATTTAATAAAAAAGTTTTTTTTTAAATAGTCCGATTCTTAAAAATCAAATCTAGTTTCTAGCTTAATTTCGATTCTCAGTCTGACATCTGACCTAAAATGACCCAACCCAACATAACTTCTAAAACAATTTTCATTAACCAAACTATAATTTGGATCAATCAATGATTGGATCAATCCAACTGTTCAGTTTGATTTTAAAATTATTAAGATGAAATTAAGATGAAAATGAGTTGACCAACACATACAAGATCATTTGAATCTGCTCAACTAAAGCTCTTCCTTCCTGGGAACACCCCAAGCTTTTACTCTGGAAGTGAAAGTAAACGATTCTAAAAAATAGCCAAAATGATAAAGAAAGCAGGAAGGGGACAATGGCTGTGACGAGACCGACAGAGTGTACGAGAAGAGAATCATATTCTCATAGGATGTGATTTTCCCTGAAAGCAAGGCTCATTCATTATTATAGCTAATGCCTCCCTCGTGCTTCTTAAATCTTAATTAGAATATATTCACCTCCTTCCCTCATAATGGCTCCGGGAACTTACTTGTTGAATGGATCCTCAAAGGCTTTAAATGAGATTTTCTCAAATGCAAAAACAAACAAATCTCCTGCTTTTACTGAAAGCCCGATGGAAGGTGTCAAATGAGCCATATATGCTGTCAAACCAACATTTAGCCGACAAACATGATTTTAGGCTATATGGCTTATAAGCCCAACATTGGCAGAAAAGTGAATATGGACTTGTAAACTATTAGAGACTGTTCCCAAAATTAAGCCCCATAATGTAACAAGCCCAAAACTGACCTGCTATATCACCATGCAGCTTACTTTCCATTTTTTTTTAATCAATGGGTTGGTCCTAATTGAAAGGATTAATCCTTGGAACATAGCGAAAGGTTTAAAATTTTAAGGAAAGAAGTGTTTAAATTTAGTACATGATCATGTCTCCAATTAAATTACTTCTAATAAAAAAATACTCATGTACAATAAAAAAAACTTCCATATCTTTTCAAAAAGTTACAAGAAAAATACTTAGATTCTAATCATTTCAAAATTAATTTTCAGAAATATATTACAAAATATTAATAAAACTTCCACCACGCACGCCTGCATTCGTATTCTAAAAAAAAATTCAAAACATAGCGTGCAATCCAGATTTGCCTTGAAGAAAAAAAAAAATCTTCTTACGGAAATTGAAGTGTTCTTTTTTAGCAAAGATACTATATACATCTAAAAAAAAAATACCAAAATGCTATATCATGAGAATTATTTTCCAAAATATTACATCTAAAATACCAAAATGCTAGATTCTAAACATGTTTAAATTAATTTTAAGAAATATATTACAAAATATTAATAAAATAACTAAATTAAGAATAGTTAGACTACTTATTTTTATAATATTTAATTTTTCTAAAATTAGATTATTAGTTTCTTATTACTTAATAGTAACTCTTCTGTTGTCCACTCGGAATTACTCTTCTTACACTTATTAATTTAAATATTTAAAATTAATTAAATTTTCTTATTTTCCGTCAAGGTTCTTGGTTAGTCCGACCGGTCAAAAGAGTACTCAATAATTTAATTCTGTTTTCTTGATTACTCTTCTATTCATTCATATTATTTTTTTGACCAAAATATTATGTTTAAAATAAACGTAACATGTCCCATTGATGAGTTTGTGTGTGTGTGTTTTTTTTTTTTTTTGGGTTTAACAATACTCAACTTCGGAGATGCAGCATTATAGTTTTTTTTTTTTTTTTACAACAGCATTATTGTTTGATAACTCTTTGATTGCGCATGCAAATAGAAATTTGGTATGTATTAAAAATATCATTATGTAAATTTAAATTTGTTTTGACCTGAATATAGTGTAAATTAATGCAAGTTGGAATACACACACACACACACAATATATAGTGATCCGTCAAACAATCCAAACTGGTCGTGAGGTGAGGAACAAGCCTACTCTTTAGAGTTCTTCAAGGGGTCACCAGTCACCACGCACGCCTGCATTCGTATTCTAAAAAAAGCTCAAAACATCGCGTGCAATCCAGATTTGCCCTGAAAAAAAATCTTCTTATGGAAATTGAAGTGCTTTTTTTTTTTAATAACAAAGATACTATGTACAGCAATTAAAAAAAAACCAAAATGCTATATCATGAGAATTATTTTTCAAAATATTACATCTAAACTGATTCCTGCATTGAACAATTTACAAAATTAATGATACCATGAACGATTTTTTCAATATTTAGTCCAAAGTGAAACAAAACTTGTCCTTGGCATGAATGATTTTAAACTTCATCTCCATCACTACTCTTGCTCCTAATAAATGAAATGAATAGTTAGTTTAATGATTTAGTAATCATTTAAATGAAAAATAATGAGCAAATAATTGGAGAGGAAAGTTTTAATAATTACATAATGTTACTAATATGGTTAAGGAATTATTATAATGTGTATTAAATTAAAAATTATTACTAATAAATAAATAATTATTAGGTTTTATAAAAATTAATAAAAAAAATAATTAAGCTATATGAATGAAAAGTGAAAATTAATTTACCTCACACATAATGACTTCTGATACTATATCTTGTTTTTCTTCTCATATATTGCAGCTGTTGTTATTGTTGTATGTTTTTCTCTCCTTGAAATTCAAGTGTTTCACTTATCTGTGTAGTTGATATATTTAAATCAAACTAAGGTAAATCAACTAAAAAAATTGATTATCTAGGGGTGTCATATATTTCATTTGATGGTCCATCATATTTAAAAGTAGAAGTATTGTATTTAACTGAAAATAGTGTGAGGTCATTAAGTAAAGATATAAACGGTCCAAATTGAATTAAAGTGGGTGAGTTAAAAAGGAGTGATGATGAAGGTGCCATGTAATGAAACTCAGTTGAGTAGGATTGGGAGAGGTAAAAGGGAATGATGATAATGATAATGTTAGTATGTAATGGGATTGATTAAAATTTTAAGGTTCTTATTCTCTTATATTTTCATTTTCAATTGGTGATTGTGTAGACAAGTAACTCCCTTGTCGCTTGCTAGGTCTATTTCAAAAAATTTATAGATGACACAACTCAATTCTTGATGGAGCAAGTTGAAAGTCTTTGTTAAATCGCTATCTTCTCATTGCAAGTAAAATATTGAGCTGGTCTTAAGCAACCCTATCTTAACAATCAATGAAATGAGAGCATTATAAATGAAAATTAATTATTAGCAAGTACTCTTTCTGTTAAAAAATATAAGACATTTTTAACCAAATCTTACACCCAATAAAGTAGTTACTTACTTTCAAACTAACTCTATCTTTTCATATTCATCCTTATTAAATATCTTATAATAAATATAAAGTCGCTATCAATAGGGACATTTTTAAAAAATATAATGATTATATCTCAAAAAATTAAAAATATCTTATATTTTTAAACAAAAGGAGTATAACTTTTTTATTTTATCAGTCTAAAGTAAACAATAAAAAAATTGAATTACAACACCTTTTTGAGAAAAAAAAGTAGGAGATTCTCGCATGACAGGAAATATTATATCATGTTAATAAAAAAAAAAAGCTGAATTCATTTACTACGTGAATGATTTCACCTTTCTTTAAAAAAATTAATTTCTAACTATTTATATTTGATTTGAACGAGTTTTTTATGACAACACACTCACTTTTTAGTTTGAATAATTTTTGGTATAATATCTGAATAAATACTAATTTTTTTTTTACTGTTATATAGTGAAATGATAAAAAAGCCAATTGGAGCGAACCAAAATAAATTCTGATGAGAGCGCCCTGCTGCATCTTGGATGAGGTCGCGTGAATCAATTTACACATTTACATTAAACGAACTCATGACTTAACATGTACTCCTCTATTTATAAATATAAAATATTTTTTAATTAAATTTTATTTTTTAATAAAATAATTATTTATTTTTAAATTAATTTTATTTTTATATATATTTATTCCTATTAAACACTTTATAATAAATATAAATTTATTATTAATAAGGACACGTAAAAAAATACTAATTACATATCAAAAGACTAAAAATACTTTATATTTTTGAACATTTAACTCTTTAAAAAATATCTTACATTTTTGAACGGAGGGAGTATTCCTTTTTGAGCCCTCCAAAAAAAACATATATTCCTTCCATTAAAAAATATTTTTAATATTAAAAAATGTAAAATATTTTCAGTTATTTAAGATATAACCATTATTTTTTTAAAGTGTCCTTATTATAAATAAATCACTTTATATTTTTTTAGGGTGAATCATCCTATTAAATAAAAATAAATATAAAAAGATAAAATTAGTTTAAATATAAGTTTACTTGAAGGGTGAGATTTAATTAAAAATATCTTATATTTTTTAATAAAGAGTAAATTATAAGAGTAAATTAGTTTTGACAGTATTGCAGGGTGAGATTTAAATATAAGTAACTACTTAAAGAGTAAAATGTGATTAAAAATACTTTATACTCTCTCCTTTCTAAATTATAAAAAATTTTTAAAAATATTTAACATCTTAAAATATAAAATATTTTGATAAAAATAAAGTTTTATTAATGATATTTTTTCAATGTTACTCTTCATATGTATTCTTTTTCTTGAACATTATTTTATTAATGAAGTATTAAATGAAAGATATTTTTAAAAATTTATATTTTTATTTTAAAAAATAAGATTATAAAATATATTTAATAAATTTTATTAATATATAAAATTTTATTTAATAATATTTTATAATTTGGGACTGAGAGAATATTTTGTAACGGAGGAAGTAAAACATAAGAGTAAATTATTTCGGACATTATCGTGGGGCAAAAATCCTAACATGGCGGAAAGAGAATCTAGTAATGTCAAGACCTAAAGATATTCCGTCATAATAACAAGTAATGATAAGCATTGAGTGAGAATGAGTGAGTTGAGGAGACAGCCTCGTGTACTCCATGAATGAGCTTTACTTATAGTCAAACGTTGTGTCAGCTTTCCAAAGAAAGAAGAAACAGATAGCCTCTTTCTTTGAATTGCCCACAACGGAAACAGAACACGCCCCGTTTTATCTCTCTTCCCACTCCGACCTTCACCCCCTCATGGCGTTCATGAAGCTTTTCACTATCTATGCTTTCATGTCCTGCTACACTTTATCTCTCTCTTCCTCTGCCTCCTCTGACGTTGAACTTCTCTTGGGGAAAATCAAAGCATCCTTACAAGGTAGCTCCCAGAATATCATCTTGTCTTCTTGGAACTCCTCTGTGCCTCTTTGCCAATGGAGGGGTCTCAAGTGGGTCTTCTCCAATGCCTCTTCTCTCCCCTGCACCGACCTTTCTTCTCCTCATTGGACCAATCCGTCACTCTTCAAAGACCCTCATCTTCGTTTGCTCTCTCTTCAGCTTCCTTCCGCTAATCTCTCCGGTTCCATCCCCAGAGAGATTTCTGAGCTCCCTATGCTTCAGAGCCTCTATCTCAACTTCAATTCTTTGAAAGGACCAATTCCTCTTGAACTTGGCTATACTTCCTCCCTCTCCGAAATCGATGTGCGTGAAAATTTTCTAAGCGGAATTTTGCCTCCGTCCATCTGGAATATGTGCGATAGGCTTGTTTCTCTCAGACTCCATGGAAATTTGCTTTCCGGTTCTATTCCAGAACCAGCATTGCCGAATTGTACTTACGACACTTTGCGATTTCTTGATTTGGGCGAGAACAACTTTTCTGGGAATTTCCCAGACTTCATTACTCGTTTTGGTGGGTTGAAACAGCTTGACTTGGGGAATAATATGTTTGTGGGTTCGATTCCTCAGAGCTTGGAGGGGCTGAGGCTTGAGAAATTGAACCTTTCCCACAATAATTTTAGTGGAGTTTTGCCTGCTTTTCTGGAACCCAAGTTTGGTGTGGAGGTTTTTGAAGGGAATAACCCGGACTTGTGTGGTCCGCCCTTGAGAAGATGTGGTGGAAATTCTAATCCTAGACTAAGTGCTGGTGCTATGGCCGGCATAGTTATCAGTCTGATGGCAGGAAGTGTGGTTTTAGCTTCTCTGCTTATAGGGTATGTGCAAAACAAGAAGAAGAAGGGCAGAGGAGAGAGTGAGGATGAATTGGAGGAAGAAGAAGACGTGGAAAATGGTGATGATAGTAATGGTAGTGGTGGTAGTGGTGAGAACAAGCTTATGTTATTTCAAGGTGGCGAGAATTTGACCTTAGACGATGTGTTGAACGCAAATGGGCAAGTTGTGGAGAAGACGTGTTATGGGACTGTGTATAAGGCAAAGCTTGCTGATGGTGGGACCATTGCTTTGAGGTTGTTGAGAGAAGGTTGCTGCAAGGACAGGGCTTCAAGCTTGCCGGTTGTAAAGCAACTAGGAAAAATTCGCCATGAGAATTTGATTCCTTTAAGAGCTTTCTATCAAGGGAAGAGAGGGGAGAAGCTCCTTATTTTTGATTATCTGCCTCTTAGAACCCTGCATGATCTTCTACATGGTAAATATATAATCCTTCCCTTTGTGTTTTTTTCCCCCGGTTTGCTTTATATTGCACCTTGCATATCCATTTCACATTCATCAAAAACTCTTGCGGTGAACCAATTGTTTCAAGTGTCTCATTGCCTGTTAGAATTTTAATATTTCATACTCCAAACATCTATAATGGTATATTCCTTTCATTTATCCCAAAACTAGACTTGACTACTTGTTCAATTTAGGCACTAGGAGGATAACTGTGATTGTAAATTGTTCATGAGCTAGGTCATGCTAACTTTGATAGCATAGTTTTAACCTATCATAGGGATTATTGAAATTTTATGCAAAGAATCTCTCCTAGAGGAATGAGACTAGGCCGTTTCACTAATAAATAATATTATGGATCAATAATAATAGCAAAATTTATGAGACTCCTTTCCTTTGACACTAAGATTCAGCAATAAATCTTGAACTAAGTTTGGTTGCATCAGTGAAGTCAGTAGTGAGAAACTTCATGATCTTGGACTATTAAAAAACCTTCTGGCTCAACAAGAACTTAAGCAACGATGCAAAATGGAATTTTCCAGGTTGTTCCTTTTGTTCGCGTGCATGAATTGTAAAATAACGTATGCTTCTGCTGGCTACTTATTTCAAATATTTGTATAGTTTTGCTCCTTACATGGGCAAATGCCTCTGCATTTTATTCTTTATTTTTGTTCTATGGAAGAAGGATGATTGAAAAACAACTATATTTGAGACACCAAGGACTTAAAAAATACCACGGGAACAGAAAAATTATTTGACCTAATGCAGCTGAAAGTTTTGGATCACAGTCTTAAAAACATCGACAAGTGTTTCGCAATCTTAAAAATTACATTACTGCATCAAAAATAATTGCTTCCTTATGGTCATTTGTAATCATGGGAGTTTATGAGGCCTATTGGCAGAGTCTCTGTTATGCCACAAGTGAAGGTTGTAGCAAGAACTAAGCTCTAAAGAATATCTTTTCATTTTATATTTATTTGTTTTGACTTTTGATATGAAGGGAAGCTGATATGAAGGCTTTACATAGGTTGCGATTGATCCCTCTATTGTAATTTTGGTTTCCAACAGAAACTAAAGCCGGAAAACCAGTGTTAAACTGGGTCAGGCGACACAAGATTGCATTGGGTATAGCTAGAGGGCTTGCATGTCTTCACACAGGGCTTGATTCTCCAATTACTCATGGGTGTGTCAAATCAAAGAACGTTGTTGTGGATGAATTCTTTGTTGGCAGGCTCACTGAGTTTGGGCTTGATAAGCTATTGGTTCCAGCAGCAGCAGATGAAATGGTGGCACTTGCTAAGTCTGAGGGCTATAAGGCTCCAGAGCTTCAAAGGATGAATAAATGTAATTCAAGAACAGATGTTTATGCATTCGGCATATTGCTGTTGGAGATTTTGATTGGGAAGAAACCTGGAAAAAGTGCGAGAGGAAGTGAGTTTGTAGATTTGCCTTCTATGGTGAAAGTGGCAGTTTTAGAGGAGACAACAATGGAAGTGTTTGATGTGGAGATATTGAAAGGGATAAGAAGTCCTATGGAAGAAGGGTTGATTCAAGCTTTGAAGCTAGCAATGGGTTGTTGTGCCCCTGTGGCTTCAGTTAGACCCAGCATGGATGAAGTTGTGAGGCAGCTGGAGGAGAACAGACCAAGAAACAGATCTGCTTTATACAGCCCCACAGAAACTAGAAGTGGAAGTGGTACCCCATTTTGAGCAGTTTCTCTTTCTGCATGCGTGTCGGGTGGATGATTGTAATAATTTTCATCTAGAGAATGCATTTTAGAAAGGGGAAATCTGTGTTTTGTTATTCATGGATGCAAAGAGACATTTCTGGGTATTACACATGCAATGCTATGAGGATCAATGATACTGAAGTAGTGTCCTAAAGGCTGAAATTAATATGAAACATGGGGAGGAATTAGTTGAAATTTGATGAAATAATCCTGAGTGTCATGGATTCATTAACTTTGATCTGATCATTTTCTGAAGTTGGTACTCTTATGGAGATTGTACTAAAACTTTTGCTGGATAAGTATGTTTGAAGTATTTGAATGTCAAATATTTTGCGTTTATTGTCAGATCAAAATGATATCAACAAGATCCAAACACATTATACTACAGACGGCTATTGATTAATGATTTTAATTCATTAGCTTAAAGATGACGGTATACTGTATAAACATCATATGGCATACTAGTACGTGTGCAATTTTTGAAATAAAGTTTTCCGACGAGACGAAGACAAGTCACTGAAAAAGGAACACAATAAATGTAAGGCATAACAAGGGAGAAGAGAGTTCTGATTCGAACAAATGCACAGCAAACTAATTCAATAATAATAATAACATCCATATTCTTTTCTTCATTTTCGCCATTCATATGGGACATACCAAGTGTTCTCTAAAATGAAGGGCTTACAAACATTGTTTCGACAAGATCAAACTATATATAGATGAGGAGATGAAAATAGACTAAAAGGGGTACATATAAGAGTAGATACGGTTTCCCTCTAAAATTAAGGGAAAAACCCTTCACTTCAGTAACTGAAGCAATTGTGGGAAAGGCTTTTTCTAAGCAATCATTGCTATCAAATTGATGACAGTAGTTGACATACTAAAAGAAATGTACGCCCTTTTCTTCCCCATTTGCAAAATCTAAATGGGGAAAGATGTGACCAAAGTGGCTGCAAACTCACTCAATATACCTAGACAATGCAATAAACGAGGAGAAAGATTGAGAGCTTTTCCTTCTTCCTTTCCTTTGTCAGTTTTACTTTCATTATTGTATTTTTGTTTTGCTGATGTTCTTGGTATTAACACATAGAACCCCTCCGGCAGCTAAGAACACCTGCACCAGCAGTGATGGTGCCAACCACAGAAGATGATTTGGCTGATAAACTTGAAGCTCTGGCATAGCTAGCTCCAGATCCAGCACCTGATGAAGTGAAGAAGGCACCGTTTAGCAAAAGGTCTCCCTCTGACCTCCAATTCCACCTTTTCCATGCTGTTGGATTTGTGTCAACTCTCTTTGTCACCTGTCAAGATCATTTTCCCTACTTTTAAGATTTTTGGAATGGCCTATCAAATAAAAACATGCTCTCTGTTTTTTTAAGGGAAAAAAAAAATTGCCAGAAAAAAGTCATTTTTACAGTTCGACAATTCACTACTCATTGATCAAGTGAAATTGTTCCACGTATCATAATTATATAGAAAGTACTTTACCTCCTTAGCAAAAGCGTTCTGAGGGGCAAGGTATCGATTTCCCTGGCTATTAATGGTGGGATCTGCACTGCCACCAATGGCATACATTTCCCAGTGGGTGTAGTCATTGTTTACAACGTGGAAATACCCATGTCTGCACCTGCATTTTCATAATTGAAGTTCACAGTGTAGAACCTTCAATGTCATCAGACACTATTGCATAACACAAATCTATATGATTTACCTTGGCATTCTCTGAATAAGGCCCTCCCCAAAATGGTTGTAGGCAATGGTCACTTGCATTTGCTTGTCTCTTACGTAAGAGTCACTGTGACCCAAAAGCATCACCTGTATACTTCGAAACATCCATCGATTAATAGAAGAAAAGAGACGTGTAATTTTTACCATTTATATCAACAACTTAACCTGAATGACTTATCTAAAAGATAAGGTGCAAGAATAAGGAGGATGATTGACCTCGTTGTGGCGAGTGAAGTAATTGTTGGAAATGGTAATGGCAGTCGAACCCATGACAGCATCAATAAGACCGTCTGCACAATTAGAGAGCGAGTTGTGATCAATCCAGATGTGGCTCGCACCAAAGATGGAAATTCCATCGCCATCAGCCAAGGTTCTCCATCCGTAATGGGAAGGCGAGCTGCGAACCATTGCGTTGCCAGTTTGCTTGCAGTCATGGATATGCAGGCCGTGGATGATGACATTGGTGATGTACTGGATGGTGATGCATCCGCCGTAAGCAATGTGGACGTTGAAGCCACGGCCGTCGATGGTCTTGAAGCTGTTCATGATAAGCTCTTGCTTAAGAGTGATAACCATGTCCCTTTTGAACACGATCCATAAGGGATCGTCTTGGATGACGGCGTGGCGGAGGGTGCCCGGTTTTGGGTTGACGGGGTCGTCGTCGCTCGGGTCAGTCACGACGTAGTACTTCCCGTCTCGGCCGCCGATGGCATTGCGTCCAAACCCAATTCCGCAATTGGCCAGATGTTTCCGGTGGCGCTGCCAGTTCCGGTCACACCGCCAGCAATCGTCGATGGGGTTCCCTGTCCCACAAGAGAAGAAACCCAAATTTCTTCTTTCCGTATGATTGCGTATACTCCTGTCAAACATTCACGCGATGACACCATCAACAATATGGCATAGCCTTCATAGATTCTAGCATATTAAGTATGATTTGAAGAACAGAGCAAAAGAAATATTAATTAAAAGAATGGGAATTTGGTTTGAGGATTTTGCAGTCACAATGTAAGGATACTGTTGGGGGAAAAAGTATGAGAAAGGAATTCGATGCCGGGCTAGACAGACACGTGAATATTAAATTTAAATTCATGATATTAGCGTATCTGCGAGTAATATATCTGCCAGAAAACAAAAATCGTATCTGCAGGCTGGAGCTCGTGCTTGAGACAGACTGGAGAAAGGAAAACCGTTCATGCATGTAACCCCACCTATAAACTATAGTTCAAAGATGCGGGAACTGCATAGATTCGTATCCGGTGACTCTAAATTAGGGGAGGAAATAGATAGAAGAAAATTATAATGAATTCAATAATTAATCAATATACAGATATAGATGTATAGGAAGAATAAAATAAGTACTTCCAAGTCTTCTATACAGTTCAAAATAAGGGAAGAGAGGGTAGATCAATTAAAAGCGTCGGCCGGATCACGCGACAAGAGCATGTGGTTAAGCTGGCAAATAGAATCTGCAAATTAAAGAACATGGTGTCTGATTCATTCGAGTCTTGAAAGGGAAGTCGAGAACGTGAGCCATTTTATGCTTTCATATATACATAACGAATAAGATAAATTGGAGATGACTCTATTTCCTTCGTACCATGTTGAAAAGGAATTCTAAGAATTATCATCGAGTGAGTCCTACTGAGATTCAGCTCTAATTAATGACCTATATATAGCTTTTGTGAGTTACTTACTCAGTGGCTAATCACTGATCCTTCCTTATTTTTCTTAGTTATAATCAGGGTGGGGTTAACTCCATGTGGCTTGTGCTAATGCGGCTTGAATCCTGGCCTGGGAAACGCCTATAACAAGGAATTTATTGAACCAAGCGAGCATGCAGTAACGGTAGCTTCCCGGCAAAGCAATGTGGGAGAGGAAAAATGGCAGCTTTGATTTAAAACTTGCACTGACCACTTTGACTCGGTTTTTATTAAAGTTTATGATGACCGAAAGAAGAAGAAGAAGAAATTAAAAGGACAGGCATATATAGTAGTTTTACGTCTTTTTTTAAATCCACTAGGGTCGGAAAATCATTAACACCAAGTGGGTTTTGATTGGTGATAATGTATCGGCCTAGAAAGGCTATGTCCCATGTGAGGAGTTCCCGAGTGTAAGCCCAAGACAAAAGTAAAGTAATGCACCCCTCACATGCCACGTGAGATTAAATATTCGCACAGGGGAGGTGGGGGGGAGAGAGAGAGAGATTACGTATGAAGCAGAGAGGCTATGTCCTCAGGATTATTAACAGCATGCTCATGGGAAGAAGCGTTGAACCTGAAAATGAAAGAAAAGAGGAAGGTGATGAAAGTAAAAGGAAGAAATTAAGGGAGTGATGCATGATGTGAGAGGAGGGGAAGAAGTGTAAGCAATGAAGTGAGATGTGGGAGATGAGAGTAAGTACCTCGGAAGAAGGAAGGCGGTGGCTGAAGGCAGAAGCAGGGGAATGAGGAGAGAGGAGAGGGCCCAGAATTGGAGAGAGAGAGAGCAGCAGGAGCGCATTGTATTCTCTCTTGGAGCTTTGCTTCGCACTCGCAGCAATGGGAGGCCCGGAAGGGGAAGGCGCGCCCTGCCTTTTATAGCCACTCCCATGGAAATCGCCTTCCAAGCCTTGCCACGCGGACAAACTGCCCTCTCCTTCCCTCAAATTATTCATTTTTTAACATTTTACAAATCTTCATTCTATTCAACCTCAAATTTTAAAGAATAAACGAGTAAATTATTTTTTAAATTTTAAATTCAATAGTATTATAAATTTTAAATTTTTTTATTATATAAATTATTTTTTTAACTTTTAAAAATAATATAATACGCCTCTTCTTATTATCATTAAAAGTTAATTTTAATCATTACTTGATTAAAAATAATAAAAAAGGATCTTAAAATTATAAAAAATAATCAAATAATTGCAATAAGAGGCTCAAAAATGACATACAATGACCCAAAAAATAAAAAAAATGATTAATTTTTTTTACACAATAATTAATTTTAAGATCTATGGTGCTCCTTAACTTAAAGTTTAAGAATAATTTGCTCAATTATCTACTTTTAAATCATTCAATTGTCTTTCTTCATTTAATTCATATTACTTCAATTTCATATATTTTTTTTGTTCCTTTTATTACAACTGTAAGAGTATTTACAATCTTTATTATAGGGCACCTTCTAAAATGATTTATTGGTATTTAATTTAAGACACATAAAAAGTTATTTATTATTATTTTCTAATTTTACCTCTATTATAAATTTAATTTTATAACTCATCGTTTGCATAAATGTCAGAATGATAAGCATTGTGATTTTTATATATTTAAGCAATTGGGTCAACCTGCTTGGCTCTCAACTAATTTATTTGAGTGTTTCAAAACTTAAAGTCGTCATTCATGTTCATATTAAAATTATAAGACTTAATGTTCGAATATGTATAAAAGCTCTCTGCAATCTTGATTCTAACCTGTAAAATCAGTTGTTTCCTGAAAAAATAACTTCCGGGATTGATAAATCGAGATCTAATATAGGAGAGTGATCAAGGAAATCCCTTTTCAATGATCAAAATCTTTATTGCAACAGAAGCTGCTGAAAAGGAGATAGTTCGACAACCCATCCTTACTAGAGCACAAATGACAGCCGGCTAGCTAAGTATTTATTATGTATGAGTTTAATTTCCAGTTTGATATATTCTCGATTGATAAAACAATTAGACACTATATATATATATATATATATATATTTCAGGCTGGCTCTTAGGGGTTATGAATGATTCAACCTAGTTATTTAAACCCATTGTAATATAGGAAAACGCATTCAGTTTGATTTAAGATTTCGGTGTGTTAATTGATTTCTGGGTGTGGCTGCGCTTTGTGCCTTGGAAAACAAATTAAAAGAATGTTTGGAATTTTAAAGAGAGGCTTTTGATACGTGCACGAAAAGCATCATCGGCATAAAAAGAGTGATGAGTACTCTTACACAGTCACATCACATTTGATCAACGTATACAACACCATTTATAACATAATGATCAAAAGCTAATAATTAATTAGCTAGGAGCATCAAGTCAATCAGTATATATATCGTGATATTCACTTCTATCCATCACTGATCACCTGTAATGTAAATCAAATTGAGAAATTAATTGACAGATGGTGTTGCCACTTTTGTTGCCTTTTAATTTTGGGCATCGATGATCGGATCAGGAAAGCGAGGGGGGGGGGTGTAGGGCTTGGATCAAATTAATTACTTTAGCGTTGGTCACAAAATTAAGAATATATTAAATAAATTCCACGAGCAACATGCATGTTTGGAATAATGAACGTGTAACACCACCTTGCTCCATTTATGCTTGTGTCCTCTTCAAGACGTTCTTCATTTTTATCTTTAATTTGCTGCATCTGCTAATACTCCTCCTCCCATCAATAAAGGTCCTTCATTATAATTTTCCTTTTCTACTCTGCTGCCTTTTGTTTTATGTCCTGCAGGTTCATGGGTTTTTGTCTCCATGTCCTTGTCCAGAAATTTCTAGATTCTTTATTTTTAAACTTTGGGGGAAAACTAATTAGTTAAATTATACAAAACTCTTATGAATTTTGAACAGTTACAAATAACCCCCTGTTAAAATTTAAAACTCAATAATGATCCAGCCCCACTATAAACTTTCAAGTCTGTATGGATAACCCTATCTATATCAATTATCTATTTCATTAAATTTTATTTTTCTGAGCAACTCTTAAACTTTGAGTCACATACATACATACATACATATATGCATACATACATATATATAAATAAATAACCCTCCTAAATTTTAAGCTACGTACTTATAAATAATTAATATACAATAATATTTACAGATGTGTGAATTTATAGGGATTTATTGTAAAGTTTCTGTGTATGACATATATAATTTAAGCAAACTAAATATACAATAGTATTTATTTTTAATTTTCCTAATTATCAAAATTGTCAGGGATCTTATATAGGAACATTTCTTTTACAAATTCATATAATTAAGAGATGTTAATTAATGCAATTTTTTTCAATAAAATAAAAACAAGAGGGTCACGCTTTGCCAACAATATTGAATTTGAGAAAAATAATGACAAATTAATAGAATGATACTTCAGAAATTTTTTAATAATCACTTATTTAGCATATAATATGTCTCGCTTCACACAAAAATATGTAACTTAATTGGAGGAAGCAATGCAGGCTTTCATGTCTAAAGATTTGGTAATGTGATGAAGGTTAGCGAATAGCTGGTAGCACCAATGAATGGAGAGGTGGGGTTAGATTTGACCCAAACATGGAGATGCAATTATCAATTTCAACTACCTCATCACAAGACATGGATCTATTATTATTGCATACTCACATGCATTTTTCATTCATGACTCATTTTTTGGCTAAAAAAATCATGACTCATTTGGGTCCCCTTAGTCGTTTCCCACTTCTATTACTATAATATACTGCCGTTTTAGTATGTGATTAATTTAATTAATACACGCGCGCGCGCGCACAACATTTGTGGTTTACTTAGTTCTCTTTCACATTATTGTTTGTTAACATCCCACTTAATTCAAATTTTGTTTCCTTTACTTATATATCCTTTTCTTTTCGCAACAAATATTTATATCTTATTAGTTTCTATATATTTGGTCTATACCACGTACATATACACTACATTTCATGTTGCAGCTCTGATCGAGTTGCAATGATTATATATATAGATATATATAAAAGAAATAATAAGAACTATAATTGAAATATACTCCTTTAGTTTTATTTATAGGATAAAGAAAGAGAAAAATTTGTTCATATTTATAGAACACTTGTCAATTTTCAATGCTCCTCTTTATATTTTTACTTTTATTAAATGTTTTGAATAAAAATATCAATAATGAGATACTCTCTCTGTTTTTATATATAAAAAGAAAAAAACTGTATCACACAATTTAAAAAAGTTGCTTAACTATAATAGTAATGTCTAAATATAAAAAAATTAGATTAAAATGTTCTATGTTAATCAACATAAGTATGCATTAATTATTTTTCATTAATATAAATTATTAAGGGTAATTTAAAAAATGTGTAATAAATACTTATTGAAATAAGTGATTTTACTTATATAAAAAGACAAGTAAAAAACTGGTAATTTCTCCTATAAAAAGAAACGGTGGGAGTATAAGAATATTTATTAGGAGTAAAGGTAAAAACTTGTTAAATTTAAAGACAATATTAATTAGATGTAAGATTTTTCTTAATTTCAGTAAAATACATTAAACGTGAATTATAAATAGGATTAGAGGAAGTAGTTATGAATTGTTGGAAAAACGAATACAATCACAATAACCACGCATAGATGAAATTGTGCATGTCCCAAAAGTTTTGCACATAATTATGGATGAAGATCATAGCTTGTGACCCATAAGATCTCCATCTGTAATTTCCCACCTTTTTTTTTTGGTCTTCCATATGTATATATATCATTCACAAATAAATCAAGCTCCCTACATGAAATCAAACTATATATATATATATATATATTCCTTTTCAAATTTCTCGTTATGCGATGATCATTCCAATCACTTAATACTCTAATAATAATTAAGTGAATAATATAAACCCAAGGGGTGCTCATACTTAACTATACGCACGTACCTTGTGGCCATGCCGGATGCCTTGTGCTAGTTTTTGTGGCACTATTCCAGGTAGTTGTATTTTGTTTTTTGGCATTTAATATAAATCTAGTTACAGCAATAAATTAAGTGGTATAGTTTGTTATAGCTTATAATCAATAAGTCAATCGTACGTCTCATTCTCTCGGCCAAAGCTATATATACTTATGTCCAATTGGACTTTAAATCCACATGGACGAGGTTCACAATTTGACTTGTCAACAATACTTAATATGTTTGAAAGGTAGTAGCAATTAAAGTGGTGCGAGTAAGTTTAAGGAGGGATTGGGGTTGGAAATGAAATATTGAAAAGTAGACTGACCCTTGTTTGACAAAATCGTGAGTGTTAACCTCCCACGAGAACACTTCTGGTCTGAGGACGAATTAAGGGGACGTCTTCCGTAAGTCATGCCTCACAATATAATTGAATTCATTATCTTTCACATTATAATTACCTTTTAATTATAATCACTCCATGTCCTATTTGTCATTTCAAGATCACTAATTAGGAATAAACCTGATATGAGGTGGTGAACTATATATATTTAGATATGATCAGAACCCTATATTAGGGAAAGAAGTCCAAAATCTAGTAATTAAAAAGCAGATTAGGAATATATAACTATTTTACTAAAATCACTTAAGCCACTTGATTAGACACACATATATTTAATTTCTCTAATATCTTGATCCCTTGACACTTTCTGTGATTAGAATATAATTCTCCCATCAAATTATTAGCACTTCTTTATTTTCTCTTTTCTAGCTCCTTAAATTCTCAATTCAAATGCTTTCTCTTATTTCCCGCTCTGGCTGTGAATTAAAATAATAAAATAGATTGCCTACTTCTTAACTTCACCCTTAATTAATATCATTCATCTGATTGTTTAATAATAACTTAGGAGTTGAATCATATGTTGAAGACTTGTAGA